TGGAATACGAATTCCAAGCCTTAAAGATTTTTTTTTGAGTCAGAGTCTTAATTTGTCACCCCCGTAAAGTGCCCTGGCATCATCTCTCACAGCAACCTCTAACTCTTGGGCTCATGAGATCCTCTTTCCTCAGCCTCCCAAGTAGCTGGGACCATCAGTGCCTGCCATAATGCTCAGCTTTTTTGAGAGACAGGGTGTCTCTCTAGCTCAGGGTGGTCTTGAACCCCTAAGTTCAGGCAATCTACCTGCCTTGGTCTCTTAGAGTGCTGGGATTACAGGCATGAGCCACTGTGCCCGACCCTTAGAAAATTTTTAAAGGTGACAGTTTCACCCATCTCCTTTGCTGGAGACTGCCCATAAGTCATGCATGGCTACTCACCCAGGAGTGTCAGGGGAGCCTCCTCTACCCATAGCAGCACCATCAGGAGTCTATAGGCCTGAGTTATATCCCAGGGTCTGACTGTTACGAGGCACATAGAGTTTTCTTTTTTGGTCTCTTTATATTTAAATGGTTTATATATGGTTTTCATAATGAAATTGAAAAAAACATAATGTGAAAACATAAGGCCTCCTTTTTATAATAGCGAAGGTGATTTTGAAATAAAGTTCTCCTTGAGTTTTGTACTGATTCACAAAGTTGTGGGTGGAGAAAACAGAGGAGGTGAGTGATGCCAGAGAACACATCTTTTTGCTGTTTTGAAAGAGGGTGAGAAATGTGGAGCATTAGGACATAATCAGAGAAATAAACACCGACTTGATTTTGTCAATGTAATAATTAAAATTCTTAAATCATTTGCATAATTATTTAACTACTACCTAAATTGTATATAACTTCAATTACTACACAGAAGCTTTTCTTGTATCAGATCCTCTCTCTTTTGTTGAGATTTTGTTGGACACAGAAGATTAAAGGAGGAAAGCATATTTATTTTCAGTCTTGTTTGGGTCATAGCTGTATTTGTGCCATGTGACAGGGTGAGTGTATAAAAGGTAGAAATGCCTTGTCTCAAAGTGCCTGGCCTGTAATCCACAGTGTCCATCGCTCCTCCCTTATCTGAGGCTACTGTATCCACATTTGTAAGGTTCACTATGTCTGGGCTTCCAGATCAAACAATCTCTATTTAGGCCAAATTTAAGGAGCTCCAGCCAGCAGATTAGTGGCCCAGCCATGCCAATCTAGCAATTTGTTTCCTTATTCTGGACCCAGTCTGCTTTATTTAATCAGACCCATGTCTATATCTCTGGCCCTGTTCTTTTTTTTTTTCCTGGAGCTGTGGTCCTGCCTTTCACTTGTTTAACTTTTGTAGGACAAAGGTTTCTCACTGTATTCCAGTCCCTGTATCTGGATCCTGATGCCCACTAACACTTGTCCCTGTGGTACATTCCTGTTATGTAAGCCACTGGCTGACTGCTAAACTCCTTGCCCCTACACCTTACTCATCTCCCAGTCCCACTGCCAATTGCCCAGCACTGAATGCTTCCATCCTCACAAACTATCATTCCTCCAGCCTCTATTTATTGCTTGCCTCAGAGTCCCCTGACTTCTTCTTGCCTGTCTGCTGGTCTGTCAGATGCCGCTAGGACCACAGGCAGCAGCCTGCCAATGGTAGGTCTCTGCAGGCCTGGTCCTGGGTCTCCTGGATGGATGCAGCTCAGCCAGCCTCTAGAATGCCCCAGCATAGAGACTCTTTATTAAAGGTTTTCTTCCTTATACAAAACTTCCTTCAAAGAAGGGTTTTTTCTTTTTTCTTTTATTTATTTATTTACAAGCGTCTCACTTGTCACCCTGGATAGAGAGTGCTATGGCATCATAGCTCACAGCAACCTAAAACTCTTGGGCTCAAGAGATCCTCTTGCCTCAGCCTCCTGAGTAGCTGGGATGACAGGTACCACCACCACACCTGGCTAGTTTTTCTATTTTTAGTAAAGATGGGGTCTTACTCTTGCTCAGGAGTCTCCAACTCCTGAGCTCAGGTGATCCACCCACCTCAGCCTCCCAGAGTGCTGGGATTACAGGTGTGAGCCACCACACCTGACCAAGATTTTCTTCTTAAGGATGACACGTGTCTCGTGGGGTCAAAATAACTCAATGTTCTTAGGCATTTGATGCTCTTACAAATACATGACACAGAGGACAAAGACCTTTGAAACAGAAATTAAGAAAACCCAATGCACATCTACATTCTCCTTCTAAAAGAAAAAGAAACTCTAAACTTGGAAACAAAAATGACCAACTAATCTTTAAACAATGGAGCATCTTATCCAAGATTTAATGATTCTATAAGGCCACAATTTGTAGCATCTGATGAACATTGGTTATGGACTTTGGTAGACTGGAAGATGACAAGAGAAAACCAGTTACTAATATTGTAGCTACTAACTAAATTGATGCCTTATCCCCCCCAAAGGGGCAGAAGTGTGAATTTGATGGCCCCTAGAACTACCAAATAGTTAAGTGAACTATAATACAGTAAATATGGTTTGCTCAGTTGAATTAACCCTATGATGTTAAATGGATTGCTTTTTGTCGTTTTTGAAAGGTTATAGGCTACTTGTCACACTCATCCATTTGGAAGGAGCTACTTTTGGAAGTACATGTAGCATTGCTTCTCGGCCTTTTGGCTAAGATCAAGTGTAGTATCAAATGTGGAAGTACATGTAGGTGGAACCATAATGGAATTGTTTTGAGTAACACACAAATGGATTTCTGATGATGAATTCTTTGCAGGATTGCTGGGTTAAAAAAAATCTAAATAGAATCTGAAAGAAATATTTACTTTTGCTTCTATCCAAGGCAAAATACAGGGTGGCCAAAAAGTTCTTGCGCAATTTTAAATCACATAGGAACTTTTATGGCCATCCTGATAAGAAAAATAAATTCTTTTTTTTTTTTTTTTTTTGAGACAGAGCCTCAAGCTGTCCCCCTGGGCAGAGTGCCGTGGCATTACAGCTCACAGCAACCTCCAACTCCTGGGCTCAAGCAAGTCTCCTGCCTCCGTCTCCCAAGTAGCTGGGACCACGGGCGCCCACCACAACGCCCGGCTATTTTTTTGGTTGCAGCCATCATTGTTGTTTGGCGGGTCCGGGCTGGGGATTCGAACCTGCCACCTTAGGTGTACGTGGCTGGCGCCTTAGCCGGTTGAGCTATAGGCGCCGAGCCAAGAAAAATAAATTCTTTATGGAAAACAAATATAAAGGCAGAGTTTAGAATGGTATAATTAAACCAACACATTAGCAAGTTTTTTACTGCCCCCTGCTGTCAATTTCAAAAAGAAATACTATTTAGTAAAATTGCAAAATCTGACTCAAGGTGTTATTAGTTGAACAAATTGGTAGGGAGAAAAGAAAACACCTCTCTTTAACTATACCACTTTCCAGCCAGTAATGCTAATGGCTTGCTTTGTACATGTGAGCAAGGATTTGTTAGATTAAGAAGCCAGTACCAGCAAAGTGTTAATTAGTGGACACAGTGTGAGAGAGAAAGTTTGTGATTTGTGACATGCTATTAATAAGAAAGTACCAGTGCTTCAACTTTTAGCCAGTGATGTCCACTTTTCCAAATTTAATAATTGTGAATTAATTTTAAGTATTTACTTAATTAAGATAAATCATTCTTCATTTATCAAATAAAACTTTCAAAATAAATGAATAAACAGCTTATTTTTTGTTGTATGAGCCTGACTTGAAATACTATTTTCATCTAGACATATGAAAGTAAGAAATGAGAAATGTTAATGGACAACAGCAATGTCGTTACTAGTTGCAAGGCACTGTTGTTTTTTTTTAAACTATGTTCTTCAGCCATCATAATACTAAGGGTGTATTATTATAATTCCCATTTCACAGATGAAGAGTTACAGGGGTTAAAGTAACTTGACTAAGGATACACAGCTGAGAAATGGTAGAGTTGTGGCTGGAAACCCTCTGGGAGAATTCCAGGCTCCTTCTCCTTAACTTTTTGTATGAATTCGGCAATCAGGAAGGAAGAACAACTTCTTCTTCTTTTTTTTTGAGACAGAGTCTCACTTGGTTACCCTTGGTAGGGTACTGTGGCATCTTAGCTCACATAACCTCAAACTCTTGGGTTTGAGTGATTCTCTTGCCCCAGCGTCTGAGTAGCTGGTACTGCAGTTGCCCACCACAACACCTAGTTATGTTTTAGAGACGGGATCTCGCTCTGGCTCAGGCTGGTCTCTAACCTTGAGCTCAGGCAATCTACTTGCGTTGGCCTCCCAACTGTTGTGATTACAGGCATAAGACACTGTGCCCAGCCAGGAAGGAAGAACTTCCGAATAGAAATTACAACAGACACGGTGATATGGCAATATGCTTATCAACTCTTAAGTGAACACTCATTTCATTGTTATTTTTTGTTGTCTGCATGCCTTAGCGGCCAGAGGCTGTGCATGAGTAACAGACAGACGTGGGAAGACTCAAATTTGACTTCTTTTTCTTTGTCAGAGAAGTTCTGCCTTCCTTTTTAGCCTCTCTCTGGAAGTGTGTACACGTGCTTATCCTCACTCAACGCATCCCACGCAGCCCAGGGCTGAGGCTGGGTTACCTGCTGGGGCTAATCTTATGGCTGGCCTCTGTACACCTGTGCCTTTCCGCTCTGTGCCTCCAGAGAATTTTCAAATACACACATACTTTACTCAGTGGTTTGAGCAAATCGGTTTCACAGTTTAAGTCTGCCTGGCGACTATTAATGCCAGAGTCTGTAGAACAACCTGTTTCTGCTCCTCTTTGCCCGCTGGAGTCCTTTGCACCCTCCAAGTCTGTAGCACAGATGGTCTAGTAGACGGTGACAGTAGATACCTCCTGCCAGGGAAACTAGCACAAACAGTACTTGCAATTCAGGGACGCTTTTGCCTTGCAAGTACTTGATAAAACTCCACCTCAGTCTCTAAACAGTTAACTACACAGGGACTTTCTTCCTCCCACCTTAAATAACGTCCCCAAAGTCAACCAAATCATTTGCTATTCGTAACAAACCATCCTACCTGACTAGAGGAGCTGGGTTTCCAGTGACTCTGCACTGCAGGAACACTTGGCTGCCTTCTGCCACTTCTTGGCTCTGGAGCTTTTGGAGGAACTGAGGAGCAGACGGGAAGAGCAGCGTGCTCTGGGGCTGTGGGTGAGCGAGGTTGGCGCGTGGCTCCACTGTGTCCTGGGCTGCCTGGTGACAATGCCTGGCCTCAGGTGGCTTGACCTTGGCTTCCAGCTCCTGCTGATCTTGTGTGGGGCTCTGGCTGGCCGAGGCACTCAGCAGGGCTGATGGCTGACTTTTAGGAGACAGGTACCCACTATCAGGGGACGAGGACTCCCCATTTGGACTTCTGTTTCTTGGCTTTGCTGCTTCTCTAAATATGGACGTCAACTCTTCGATGAAATTGGCTGCCTTTTCACACAGCTGGCTCTGGGGGCCAGCCTTACCCTGAGGAGCAGGTTTGGCCTTTACGTTAGTGCTGGGAGTTTTTGCTCCACGCTTTTCAGCCTTTCGGAGGCTCCGGATATAGCTGGGGCTGGCGAGCAGGGGTGACAGGGAAGGTTTCCTCTTTGAAACAGGTGAAGAGATGCTTTTAGTTTGTCTTTCTGCCAAAGGCTGGACAGCTGTTGGCCTGTTATCTTGAGGTCTTTGTGAGGTTTGTTCAGTCAATTTGGTCTCCTCATGGAAAGGATTTTCACAGAGGCTTACAGGAGTGGGGTTAAAAATCTGCGAGATCTCCTTTTCGGAGTCAAAATCTTCGGTTCCAGAGTTAGCTATTGCTCTCCGTGCCAGGTCCAGGCTCTTGTTTATCTCTTCCTGGCTGAGAAAAGCAGACAGCTCTGGGAAGAATTCAGCATTCTTGCTTTCTTCCTGCATAGATGCTGACAGGGCATTGTAGAAGGAGTCATGGGAGGAGGTCCCTGACATGTTGGTGCTGTCCGTGAACACTGTCTGCTTTCAACCAGAAGGCCAGAGGGGCTAAATCTGCTTTCTTCTTATGCTCTGAAACACAAAATAGAATTGTCATCAGTAGCAATGGTATTTTTCTATTTTATCATGAAACTACTAATCTATGAATGGGAAGAAATATTAGTAAACAAATAATTATCTATACTCTAAGTTGGAAGAACATTAATCATTTTAATATGTGCCCAGTGAGTGACTACCAGCAGTCTCGGCAAGCAGCACTGAATGTGCAGACAGCTGACAACGCAGTAGGCACCCCGTGCTGCTCACAGCCCCACTCCACACACCTCATCATGCTCCAATTTCTTTAAGGCATGAGACTAACAGATTATTGGTATTTTTTGTACATCTGATTGCTCATTGACACTAAACCAAAAATCATGTTTTAATGATGCCAATTTTCACTTTGTGGTTTGCAAGGAAATATTTAAAACTTTACTGTCTCTTTCCTTCTTTGTGACCAACCATGTTCATATTCATTCATCCCACATTCTGTCAGAGGGCAGGAATCACCTACTGAGTTTCAGGTCCTAGAGATACAGCTATGCTCTACGTTGGGGATATGTAAACTTTTCTGTAAAGGGCAGATAGTAAATATTTTTTACTTTGTGAGCAGTACCATCTCTGTTGTAATTACAGGCAATCCTTGAGTTATAAATGAAATAGGTTCTGTAGCTTTGTTCTTAAGCCGAATTTGTATGTAAGTTAGAACAAGTACATTTATCTGTTACCTGGAATACCCTCTATTTGTAAGTGGGAGTCATGCATCAGTTGGGTGTTTGCAACTTGGGGACTTATAACAGCCTCCATTCATAAGTGTGAGTCAAATATCTGTCACATGTTTACAACTCATATTATAAACTGTACTGTTTGTGGTGCCTGCACTTAGCCATACAGGTACACTCAGCTCTGTCATTGTAGATGACAATATACAAAGTTTATTTATGGACTCTGATGTTTGAATATTACATAAGTTTCATGTATCAAAATTCTTCTTCTTCTTTTGATTTTCTACATACCAGTTCAAAAAGGTATAAAGTATTCTTAGCTGGCATGCTATACAAAAATAGATGGTAGATGGATTTGACCCTAGGGCTGAAGTTTGCTGACTTTTGATTCAGATTTATGATATAATCCTTGCCTTCAAGGAGTTAAAAGTCATGGAAGTGGTAAAGTAGAGGAGGTGGAGAGGACATTACACACATGAGATAGGGCTTCAGAGAAAAAAGGAAAGAGCTTGACAGCTATGAGAACACACTCTAATTGTGAAGAACATTCGAGAGAAATGTGTGCCTTTGTAGGACATTTACCTGGGGGTATCATCAGAATAAAATAAATGGAGTTTCATTATCTGTAAAATAATTGGTATCATTTTAAATCCCACTGTTATTTTCAACTAAATATTGTGAAACAATGACTCTCCTATACTCTAAGTATGCTGTTCTTTTTATTTTATTTTATTTATTTATTTTTTTCAGAGGCAGAGTCTCACTTTGTCACCCTGGGTAGAGTGCCGTGGTGTCACAGCTCACAGCAACCTCCAACTCTTGGGCTTAAGTGA